AAGAAAGCCTTCCTCAGTGATCAATGCAAAGAAATAGAGGAAAACAACAGAATGGGAAAGACTAGAGATCTCTTCAAGAAAATTAGAGATACCAAGGGAACATTTCATGCAAAGATGGGCACAATAAAGGACAGAATGGTATGGACCTTACAGAAGCAGAAGATATTAAGAAGAGGTGGCAAGAATACACAGAACTATACAAAAGTAATGCGTCCAGGCCCAGAGAATCACGATGGTGTGATCACTTACCTAGAGCTAGACATCCTGGAATGCGAAGTCTATTGGGCCTTCGGAAGCATCACTACGAACAAAGCTACAGGAGGTGATGGAATTCCAGTTGAGCTATTTCCAATGCTAAAATATGTTGCTGTGAAAGTGCTGCACTCAATATGCCAGCAAATTTGGAAAACTCAGCAGTGGCCACAGGACTGGAAAAGGTCAGTTTTCATTCCAATCCCAAAGAAAGGCAATGCCAAAGAATGCTCAAACTATGGCAAAATTGCACTTATCTCACATGCTAGCAACGTAACGCTCAAAATCCTTCAAGCCAGGCTTCAAAAGGACGTGAACCGTGATCTTCCAAATGTTCAAGCTGGATTTTGAAAAGACAGAGGAACGAGAGATCAAATTGCCAACATCCACTGGATCATCAAAAAAGCAAGAGAGTTCTAGAAAAACATCTACTTCTGCTTTATTGACTACATCAAAGCCTCTGACTGTGTGGATCACAACAAACTGTGGAAAAGAAAGACATTAGTTTTTTTAATATAATGAAACTAACTCAATTTAAAATAATGTAATTCCTGGTGTGCCAGCCAACTGCAGCACACACAGAATCCACTAGTCATGTGCATGAAAGATGTTGGAAAGCTCAGTGCAGGGTGACCACACCTAAGTGAGCAGACGGGGTGACCTCTGGGTTTGGTCATTCACAAACGGAGCCCCAGTCCACCTCTAAAGCAGATAATGCATACAGTCACAGAGATGCACAAATGAGGTTTAATTCTTGAAACTTTTGATGGTTTGAACATCCTTCCCAGAAAACGTAAATGACAGTGGCCTAAATAATATAGGGATTCATATTTTCCTCATAAAATAATAACCCAACATGAATGGACCTTAAGGTCATTGAATTAAATGAAATAAATCAGAGAAAGATGAATACTATAAGATCTCACTTGCGCATGGAATCTAAAAAAGTCAAACACTAGAGACAGGTACTAGAAATGGGGGAAATTTTGGTTACAAGATGAGTAAGTTCTGGGGATCTAATGTACAGCATGGTGAGTATAGTTTACGATACTGTTTTATATGCTTGAAAGTTGCTAAGAGAGTAGATCTTAAATGGTCTCACTACAAAATAAAAAGTCACCATGTGATTTTTGACTGAAGTGTTAACTAATGGTACTATTAGTACCATTTCACAGTATATATGCATCAAATCAACACGTTTTACACCTAAACTCATAATTTTATATGTCAGTTATATCTCAGTAAAGCTGGGGTCGGGGGTGGGCGGGGGGAGAACATTCAGGCCCTAGGAATGACAGAAGCAACAGGAGTCAGGTAAGCAGACTCCACAGACAAAGAGCAGAAATCAGAGCAGCAGTTCTCAGCCTGTGGGCCTGGGGCCTGGGGCTAAGCAGCTCTTACAAGAGGGCTGTAAGTCAAGGTATCAGACTCCTGGCAGACAGGCTAAATAGCACCCTTACACATAAATACTACGACTGTCATTCAAATGTATTAGGTTCCATTGTGACTAGATAAATTCGTATGAATTTAAAAGAACTAGTAAATTCATTTTCAGTATCTAATCTTACATTTTCTCAATCAGTAAGTATTAAAATACAAATTCTCCATATCAAGAAGTGTATAGGTTTGTTTTTTTTTATGGTTAAAGTAAGAATTTCATACTTTAAAAGTTTGGAACTATTGTATTAATAAATATTGGAGGTTTCATTCTCTGACAATGGAGTTTTAAACCAAAGGATGGGGCAGGCAGTGTATATGAAGCAGTCCAACCATCATAGACAGCTGAAGACATTTTTTTTCTAAGTAATATTTGGATTAAAGAGAAAATCAAATACAACATTTTGGAAAAATGTATTAAAAGGTTGCGTATTAAAACCTCCAAACTTTGAAGCTTTTTCCAGGAAATACAAAGTATTAAAGTCAATGTAAAAAGAAGGGGATGATAGAGGATGAGATGGTTGGATGGCATCACTGACTCAATGGACATGAGTTTGACCAAGCTCTCAGAGATGGTGATGGACAGGGAAGCCTGGCGTGCTGCCGTCCGTGGGGTCGCAAAGAGCTGGACACGACTTAACCACTGAACAACAACAACAATGTGGTCTTTAAATATAGACAACACTGGAAAAGTTGAAAAGTAGTTGTATGCTAGAAGGAATCTCTCTCAAAGAATAGATAATTATTGTCATATTTAAACTATTCCAGAAAATTGAAAAATATTTTTTCAAGATTATCATAACCCAGATACTTAAACTGAACAAGAACAAAGTAAAGCATAATCTAATTATGACTTAAGAATACAGGACAAATATACAGTACTCTAAGCATTAATATATTGAATTCAGCCTTCTATTAAATATTAATTCACAACAATTAAGTAGGGCTTATTTCAGGATGTTTTAGTATTAGGAAAATCTACATGAACAGATTAAAGGAGAAAAACTCATAGATCATTTTGAAATATGACAAAAAACATTTAGTAAATTTCACCTCACTTTCATGATGGAGGAATTACATCTTAATGCTAATTGATTGGGAAAATACAGGATAAGACACCATAAATGAATTAAATAACACTTTCAAATGAATTTGACTTTCCTTAATTATAGTAGCTAATGTGATAATGGGTGACTGGCAGAAGCCTTCAGTAAACTACACAGTGAAGTATTAGAAAGGTTGCTATTAGTTTGTAGAGTAAAATAAGATGTTGTGTGTATCCAAAATTGTGCTGGAGTAAAAAAAAAAAAAAATTCCCAATCCCAGTTCCTTACAACTATGTAGGTCTATTTTTCACACTTCATGACAGTCCCTTGTCAATTCCAACTTTGTCCCACATGGTATATTTGACTTCAAAACTCCACCTCTTTGTTATCTGTCAGAGATATTCCACACATGCACAAACATATTTGTGTAAATATATTCACTGAAAACCCAAAACCCATCACTAGCAGAATAGTTTTCAAAATTATGGTAAATCCCTGCTATGAATCAAGAAAACTTATCTTCAGGAATTGAAGAGCTCTATGAATGATTAAGGAAAAGTCATACAAGGATACATAGAAAACATAGAGGTCATCTCTGGCCAGATTGTAGAATAGGGGAATTATGATTGAGATGTTCTCTTTTCTTATTTTATACTTCTATATTGTTTGAACATACTGTATAATAATCATATACTATTAATATATACTTATATTTCCTTTTCTTCTTAATTTCAAATATACTTCAAGTATACTACTGTATACTTACTATAATGGCTTTATCAAGTTCTTGTGTTCCTGGGACATTGTATTTTGGGGTTTTATTTTTATTTGTGGGATTTTTTTGGTTTATTATTTGTCATACAAAAGTTTAAAACAAGATAATATCTTTGTAGGTTATATTCTTTACTATTATATTATAACCCTCTATACCCCAATTAATTCCTTGAGATCTGGATTCCACATTCTAGAAAATTTTAGTATCATTCCTGTTTTCATTTTGTTTGCATTTGCTGAGTGTGTTTTGCCTCTTGTTTCCTTTGTACTCTTTTTTAGTTATTGTGGTGTGTTTCTCCCAGATCTTACAGTGCCTTGATTTTAAAAGTATACCTGAAGCCAGAAAGTTCATGGATTCAATGAAACTCTGAAACAATGATATATGGTTCAAACAAGTTCTTTGAAAAGCTACATGCTTAGCTAGCCATAATGTCTTATTGGACAGATAAGGTAAGCGTCAATGAAATTTTACATACTTGTTCCCTTTAAATTTAAAGTAAATCTATACCCATTATTTAACTTGCCATTTTAAAGCTGAATTTCTGGGTCAGTCTGTTTTCTAAGGAAGGAAAAGAGCTCTCCTAATATGTAAGGGTTTGTTTTAAGAGTTCGAAGAATTGTTGATTTGTAAAGTTGACACAAAACTGCTTTCTATAGGAAACTTTTTAAACTGTTTATGGTATAAGATTGTGTGTGTTCTATGATGTGGTAAACCACAGCTGTCATAGGAGATTAACCTTAACTACCAATTATATCTCACTGTGATCTCAACAACTAGAGCTAATTAATTCTACTTCTTTAAGGGACTGTTCAGGTTTCCTGAACACAAAACATAAAAATATTTTCTTCTTATATAAACTACCTTTAATAAAATACAAGTGACTCTAACAGATTAAAAGACAAGAAAAAAAAATCTCAATTTGCCATGTCAGTAAGACTAGTATGATTGAAAAAAAATGTAACATGTTTATCTTATGGGTTATTTTCAGAGAAACTGCATAAGATGGAGACTGACAATCATGAAAAAAAATTCCACAGATAGATCTAAACCTCTCACCTTGAGACTCACATCTGCTGCCAGGATAACTGAGCTGGAAGAAGTTCAAAAACTGTCTACCATACTTAGCAAAAATCTTTATCCCCAAAGAAACTGAGGACTTGTTACTCTGAGTATGTCTCCAAGAGCAAGATAAAATGATGAGCTAAGTCTCTTTCATAGTCCAAGCACCATGAAAGACACTGGAATATAGCAGTGACATGTGTAAACACTGCCCTCCTGAACTTACAGTTTAATATTGTTGTTTAATCGCTAAGCTGTGTCTGACTCTTTTGTGACCCCATGGACTGAAGACTGCCAAGCTCCTCTATCCATGGGCTTCTCCACACAAGAATACTAGAGGGGGAAGCCATCTCCTTCCCCAGGAGATCTTCCCAACCCAGCAATCGAATCCGCATCTCCTGCATTGGCAGGCAGATTCTTTACCACTGAGCCACCAGGGAAGCGTTACAGATTAATCTATTAATACTTGCCTGTTACCCTGCTCTTGCTGTCCAATTTGGTACCATTAGCCACACGTAGATATTTAAAGTTAAATTTAATAAAATTTAAAATCAGTCATGCTAGCCATATTTCAAGTGCTAATGTACAACATGATGACCATAGTTAACACTAAAATATATTTAAAAGTTGTTGACAGAGTAGATCCTAAGAGTTCTCATTACAAAAGAAAGAGACTTTTTTCTTTTTGTTTGTTTGTTTTCTGTTTTTGTATCTATATGAGATGATGGATGTAACTAAACTGACTGGGGTAACTATTTCACAATATATACCTTAAACTTACTTACACAGTACTGTGTGTCAATTATATCTCAATAAAACTAGAGAAAACAAATTTAGGACTTAATGGAGGTAATTCCTATCTATGAAGTAAAAAGAAGGGAAAGGGAAAATCTACCTATGAGGTATGAGGTAAAAAGAAAGGAAAGGGAAAATCCATTTCTTTGCTGTCTCTTTGTAAATTCTGAGACTTTTAATACTGAAACAGATCATGTTTCAGATCCTGCTCAGCATCACCATCCCATGGTTATGGAGGAGGCCACATTATATCTATACCCTTGCTAGAGCTATGAAAGAATTTCAGTATATTTAAAAGTACAATACCTTGCATATGAGAATTGCACAATAAATATTTGGACAGTCCCTGAGAGGTGCCCATAATCCCTGAATTAGTACCAGCTGCCAGTAATCTTTTTCTTTCTGAGCCTAGGTGATCTCACTAGCCAGCACTTTATAAGAATCTGTCTGTCCAAGACCACAGCTGCTCTTCATCTTTTCTTTATTACTACACCAGGCCATGCAAAACGAGTGCAAGCCTTCTCTCCTCCGCATTACACTCAGGTAAGGTGGGAAAGCCTTCTCTCTTCCGCGTTACACTCAGGTAAGGTGGGAAAGCCTTCTCTCCTCCGCGTTACACTCAGGTAAGGTGGGAAAGCCTTCTCTCCTCCGCGTTACACTCAGGTAAGGTGGGAAAGCCTTCTCTCCTCCGCGTTACACTCAGGTAAGGTGGGAGGACCAACACAGCAGGGTTGCTGGGTCCTCTCCCCTCGCCCACATGCCTGCCACTGAGTCTGAGTCTGGCCCTACAGCTGGGATGCACAGGAATGCTCCCCCGGCAGGGCGGGGCTTTTGCCATTGCATCTTGCAACGTGACCTCTACTGCTCACCTCCTATCCTCATCTCCCAGCTCCCATTCTGAGACCACCCAACTTGTCCAACGTCAATGTGGGTCAAGTTTTGCTTTTCCTCAGGAGGCTCCTCACCCAGTGGACGTCTGACGTTGACTGTATCCTGTAACTGCTGGTCAGTTGTGATGTAGCTGTGCCTGTGCAAACTTGGTCAGAGTCGTTCATGTTGGGGTCCCTTCTGTTAAGTGATACGTGCTGATCAATAACTAGGATGAGCTGAATTTCCATGTAAAATATCTTTAGGAAGATCATACTAGGATTTAGCTTTGACATGAAAAGCTGCTATATATGAAGGAAGGAATGGAAACAGCAATGGAACACAAGTTTGATCTTGGTAAAGCCAAACTTTGTCATTGGAAGAATGACTGAAATTCTATATTTTATTGCAAAAAAAAAAATAATCAAGTGCTTTGTAGGAGCTAAAAAGAAAGACACCCACAACTAAATGAATCTGTGTTACATTCTGTTACTGAGATAATGGAAAAGAATTGACAATCACACCTAAGCAACATATGTGAAGGGAGAGGAAATTGCTCAGACCATCAGATGGATGAAGGAAAATTCAAAGCAATGAAAGGTTGATGTGATGGGTTTGTGCATCCAATGGGACTAGCATTAAGCCACCAAACACTATTTTGTCTTCTAATTTTGAACAGGAACCACTTAACTTCCAATAAAAGTTAATTGATTTAATTGATAAAAACATGAAATTGAATTTAGACAAGTACAGAAAACCCTAGAGAAACTCCAGTATTCTTTGACATGCTTAGAAATTATATTATGAATATAATGAAATCAAGAAATCAAAATCATGAGTTTGAGCAACAAAGAGTGGTTTATTACTGTGTTGCTATGGTAAATTGCTAATGGCCAAAAGTTTGGTTCCATAGTTAAGAGTGTAAAGCAAAAAAAAATCTAGAGTAAGAAATCACTCCCCAAATAAACATTACTTCCCCCAAAATAATTATTTGTGACAGCTGAGTGATTAAATTCCATCAAAGAAGCCCCAAAGAACCTAAGTAACCCATCAAGCATGTTACTTCTAGATGCTTTTGTGATATGTCTAGACAGTTCTAGCAAGAAGAAAATGATAGCACTAAAACTGTTGGTGGATTGGAGAAAAATTCCAGAGAAAACAATGAAGCATTCTTTCAAGAACTGTTGCATCATCAAGGTTTCTGACATATGCATTTATGGATGTGAGTCAAAAGTCATTTAGAAGAGTCAGACCATGAATGGGAAGTATTTCAGGAATGCTTTAACCAATCAGTTTCATTTATATTTCCCTTCTAAAAGGAACAAGTGATAAATCATTTTTAAACTATGCTAAATAAGTCTAAAAGAGGTCTTCAATATACAAAATATTGTTTAATTAGAAAGAAGCACTGTGCCATGGTTTAATTTTAATTATTTTCTCTAAGTAGTGTATAAGATAATGGTGCATCTTACAATAGGTAGCACCTTTAATTCGATGAAATTCTATACACTTTTTTGCTCATTACTTTTCTAGTTGGCTGTCACAGTTTAGACAGCCATAAGGACACACAATAAAGATGACCATTTTCAGTGGTGAAAACTAAACTCCAGGCTCTTAATCCTGACTTTGTTGAAACCATTGAGCTTCTCAGGGAATTTCCGGTGCATACTCTAAAGAAGGCTCATTGTCCTTCAGCACCAAAACACGACGTCTCTATTGAGTTCTCCTTAGGTATCAAGAAGAATGGAAATCTTTGATGACAAAGCAATATAACAGCCCTTCACATATGCCACACACACAATCAAGTGGCTGACATTTTTCCCACATTCAACCAGCATTTTGGAGCATATTTACTATGTTCTAGATATTATAGTAGCCAGATCTCATTTGAGGGACACTTACTTTTGATGTAGTCTTGATGTTTTTGCCCCTAATTGACCGTTAGTCAAAATATTAAGCCTTGAGATGTTTAATTAGAAAAACATGTTTTCATAGTTTTATAATCTGTGTAATAAATATAACCATGTAAAGGCAAAGCAAAACGTAGTCTTTCTTTCACTGAATGTCACGGTAGTCACAGAAGCAGCCTGCTGACAAGCCTGATAAGGCTATTTTTAGCATATCACCTTTTTAGAACATTTGTGATTGTTAATTATGACCATTTGGAGCTCACAGATGGCATATGAAATTGTAGTGTTCTGTTTTAGATAATGAGGGTGGTGATATAACAAATAAATCATTGTGAAACAAAAGGACAAAGTTGGCGCACAGCACGGTGTATTGGTTATTTATTACACACAGTACCTTGCCTGTTAACAGTGCTTTCAGGTTGATTTCTAGCCACTGTTCCATCTGCCACTCTGGTCTTCTGTTTACACAACTTGCTACCTCTCTACTTGTAACCTCTGGTGTCTCCTTTTTTGCAGCTCCTGAGTTCCTCAGCTTACATTTCAATGCTAAAGAATTAGACACAAACCTGCCAATTGAAATTATTTTCCACAGCCTCCAATAGGCAGTTTTCCTTCAGTTAGTACAGTCTTCACCCTGGTTCTCTATGCCTTCTGGTCATTGCCAGTTATGCTCCCATCAACAATCTCTCTACATATAGTGACTATTTTTCTTCCTTCTGCCTATCAAAACTCTGCCAATCCTTCAGGATACACCTTAGATCCAAAGCTCTCTGCACAGCATGCACTGACTTTCAAATTGTCATCATTTTCTTCCTTGAATTCCAAGTGCAAACACAGTAAATGACACATATTTTTTTTTTACATGTTTTTCTTCCTTCTGCCTATCAAAACTCTGCCAATCCTTCAGGATACACCTTAGATCCAAAGCTCTCTGCACAGCATGCACTGACTTTCAAATTGTCATCATTTTCTTCCTTGAATTCCAAGTGCAAACATAGTAAGTGAAACATATTTTTTTTTACATGTTATTTTTTTTTCCATTTATTTTTATTAGTTGGAGGCTAATTACTACACATAATTTTTTATGAATTTTTCCCTGATTGTGTCTTATTTCCATGTAGGTCTTAGTTAAATCAGTTGACAAAGTTACAAACAACAGAAAGCCTAGATGCTCTTCTGTGGCTTCCTCTACCACACCAAAGAAAGATACAAGTGAGAGAAGGAAGAATCAGTGGTTAATAAATACCTGTTGAGTCTCTAATACAGAAATAATTTACAACTGAATATTCAGAAGATAACATTTTCAGGTCCATTTTCTTAAAATAGAAGAAGCTGAATCTAACAGTTGGTGTAGAATGTTGACTCTGATGACGTGATAAATAATCCCTCAGAAATTTACAATTCTGTAAACTGTCAAGGACCTCTCCAAGGTGTGCATCATAAGATCCTGAATTTCCAGGGCTCAAATCATTAATTTAATAGTTGGAGCTTTATAAGGCCGAGGAGACTGAGCAACAGAAGGAAGGAAACTATTTGGGAGTTACCACTAGCAATTTGTTACAATATTCAGTGCCCTACTTTGTATTGATTTGGGCATTTGGCATAGTGTTTCAGTTATATATTATTCACTTAGCATTTTGATATTTCTACTGCTGAGATAAGCACGGCTGCTGACCCAACAACTCT